TCCCAAGTAGCTGGGATTATAGGCACCTACCACAGCACCTGGCTATTTTTAGAGACGGGGTCTCATTTTAGCTTAGGCTGGTCTTGAACCTGTGAGCTCAGGTAATCCACCTGCCTTGGCCTCCCTGAGTGCTAGGATTATAGGTGTGAGCCAAAACACCCGGCCCCTGCATCCTTATTTTGTGAAAATTTTTTTGCTTATCTGGGGTGTCAGATGCAATGGAAAGTATGCAGGGACCTTTTTTTTTTTTTTTTTGCTACTCAGCTTTCATTAGTATTTGCATATTTACTGTATGGCCCAAGACAACTCTTATTCTTCCAAGGTGTGACAGAGTAAAAAAAATTTGGACACCCCTGAATTCTATATGCTTTGGTAGCTTCTACCACAAAGGGTCAGATAATAAATATTTTAGGCTTTGTGGGCCTTGAGGTCTCTGCTGTAGTTACTCAACTCTGCTACTGTAGCGGGAAAGCAGCCATATGCAATATGTAGAAGATTGGAGGTGGCTGTGTGCTGATAAAATTTTATTTACCAACACTGATATTGGAATAACATTATTTTCAAATGTTATAAAAGATTCTTTTGATTTTTTAAAATCCATTTAAAAATGTAAAAACCACTCTTAGCTGGCAGGCCACACAAAAACAGGCAACAGGCCATATTTGGCCCTCTGAACTTAGTGTGTGAACTCCTGCTATAAATTCCTTCTGCCTCAATTCAGTCAAAAATGCCTTTTGTATATTATATCCTTGAATCTACAGCCTGGGAAAGAAGATGGGAAAAGTTAACTCTGCTATGTGCTAAGCATTGTTTTTGATTTTTAAATGTCATTCTTTAATACTTCTGGACTTAGAAACAAAGTCAAAAAAATAGTACAAAGAATTTCTCCATTGATTTCCCAAATGTTAACATTTTACCACATTTGCCCTCCTTTCTTATGTTCTTTTCATTCCTGGAATACCAGCTCTGGGACTTTTCCTCTCTCTCACCTCTCCAATTTTTTTTCTGGATTATTTAAGAGCCAGTTGCAAAGATGATGCTCTTTTATTTCCTACAAACCAAGGATATTCTCTTACATAATCACATTACAGTTACCAAAATCAATAAATTAATGCAGAAGTATTATTTTATCTTTAGTCCTTGTGCCATTATCAAAATCAGGAAATTAACATTGATGCATGGTACTATCTACAGGTCTAATTCTGATTTCATCAGCTGTCCTACTAACATCCTGGCAAACATCTTATAGTCAGCATCTTTAGCAACTCCCCCAGTTTTTTACCCAATGAGTTTGATATTATTATACTTACTTTACCAATAAAGGGACTAAGGCTCAGGGAGCTTAGGTATCTTGCCCACAATTACATAGATAGTAAAGTAGCAGAGGTGGAATTTCACTCATGCCTGCTTCCGGAGCTCCTTACTCTTTAGTACTGGATTAGCATGGCAGAGCCTAAGGACTCAGTGCAAGGAGAGGGAGTTGGTATTCTAAGCATAGGAAAAGCCTGAGGAAGGAAAGGCAGCAACTGACTACTACGTTCTCTCAAGAGAGGGTCCAGGCATCGGCGCCTGTGGCTCAAGCGGCTAAGGCGCCAGCCACATACACCTAAGGTGGCAGGTTCGAATCCCCAGCCCGG